TTTTAAGAAATTAGGCATTTTTTGATAGTGAGACATATCTGCTCCTGGCAGTACCAGTACCAATTACTTCAAAGAGGATGATGGGCATTCAAGAAACTCCATATGGAGTTTTTTTTATGGCAAAAGCCATTCATGTGGACAAAGAAGGCACCCTTGACTCAACTACTGACAGTATTCTGTACAAATTGGACAAACAGGACACAATAGAAAGCGACTGCAGAACTTTGCCAAGATAAGGTGTGACAGTCCTTCAAAAATCCCGCTTCATGAGTAAGTCTGTCAGATATGCTAGGCCTGTAGGCTAAAGATGGATGCCCCAATGTTGCAGAGGAACTTTGGGTGATTGTCCAGGCAGCTTGAGGTTCCTGTCATTAAGTAACTGTGGTGGTATTCTAATTGTACTGAAATGTGATTTTGATTGTAAATCACATTTCAGTACAATTAGAATACCACCACAGGTAACGTTTTACCCTTCTGGAGTCTTTAATGGAGCTGAACACTAAATAGTTATAATGATAGTTTTCTTTAGATATAATAGAAAGTAAACTAGATACAAAACTTCAGACTCATCAAGATAGATAATTAAGTATTTTCTCTAATTTTGCCAAATGCAAATGGATTAGATGTTACTGTAATTCTTACTTAATAACTATTTTTGTTGCATATAATCTTACTATGTTAAAGTTAAAACCTTCCTTTTTAATTAGACAAAAAGGTGGAAGTGCTGTGGAATAATCCTCTTGTATACTGTAAAGATTTGCCACTTGAAGTTGGTTTAATAAAACGCTGATTGGCCAGTAGCCAGGCAGGAAGTGTAGGTGGGGCAACCAAACTAAGAATGCTGGGAAGAGGAAGGGCAGAGTCAGGAGTTGCCAGCTGGATGCAGAAGAAGCAAAATGAGAATGTTGTACTGAGAAAAGTTATCAAGCCACATGGCTAAACATAGATAAGAGTTATAGGTTAATTTAAGTGTAAGAGCTAGTTCGTATTAAGCCTGAGCTACTGGATGAGCATTTATAATTGATATAAGCCTCTGTGTGGTAATTTGGGAAGTGGCTACTGGATATTTGAAGTTGCTGGCAGGACAGAAACTTCCACTTACATCCTCCTGCCTCAGCCTCCATGTACTAGGATTGTGAGTATGCAGCATCATGTTTGGATTTTAGCTTTTTTTTTTTTAAGATATTTATTTATTTATTTGATAAATTGTTCACAAATCAAGTCTTACCAAGCACAAAAACTTGAAATAATTTCTTCTGTCTTTTCAGATCATAGAGCAACAAAACTAGAAATCCATAGCAAGAAAAACCACAGACTCTATACAAATGCACAGGGACTGAAAAGTCCACACTTGAGTGATCAGTAGGTCATTAAAGAAATCAGGACAGGAATCTTAGTTTACTTATTTTATGTTGTATTCATCAGTGTTTTGCCTATGTGTATATATGTATACTGTGTACACTCATGTTTACTGCTGTAGTGAGTATAGCTAGGAAACGATACTAGCCTGGATGTCCATAGGCAGAGAATAGATAAGGAAGACGTGGTACATATATGCATTTTTTGTTTGTTTGTCTTTTTTTTTTTTTTTTGGTTTTTCGAGACAGGGTTTCTCTGTGTAGCTTTGCGCCTTTCCTGGAACTTGCTTTAGAGACCAGGTTGGCCTTGAACTCACAAAGATCCACCTGCCTCTGCCTCCTGAGTGCTGGGATTAAAGGCGTGCACCACCACCACCACTACCCGGCTTGTTTGTTTGTTTGTTTCTGACAGGATTTCATGAAGCTCCAGCTGGCATCACACCCACTATGTAGCCAAGATTGGCTTTGAACTCCTAATCCTTCTGCCTAACCTCCTAAGTACTGAGATTACAAGCCTGTGCCACCATATCCAGTATGCAGTGGAACTGTATGGAGTCATAAAGTGAGATTATGATGTTGGAAGTCATTATGTTAAGCAAAATAAGCCAGATTCAAAAAGATAACACCAGATATTTTCTTTTATATGTGAAATTGAGATTTAAAATTATGTGTATATATATGTATATATACATATAAATGTGTTTATTTACACATGTGTGTGTGCAGATCATAAAACTAGAAAGCAGATAATGAGAAGGGAGGAAGAGATCTCAATTGATGGAGAGAAAGAGAAGGTAACAGAAAACACGTGACCTGAAATTGGGGATGGGGTGTTAGGGGAAGAGAATGAATGATAACCAAGCAGAATGACACATATGTATGAAAATGCCATAATAAAACCTATTATTTTGTATAATAACATTATTGATATAAATTGATATAAGTAAGTAAAATTTTATTAAGTTTTGCATTAAATCAAGGGTCAAATGCAGGGAGACTTATTCTATTAAGCTAATCCTGCTATTTTCATAGAAATATTTCTTTTTCAAAGGAAGGAAAAGGAAGGGATTCCCTTACTAAAAGTTACATGTGGACATAACTAGGAACGCAGAGAAAATATTATTATTCTTTTTGCTGAGGCTCTGAAAGAACCACGTAAGAACCAAAGTTCTACATGGAAACACTGGATGTAGGCGCAGACTTACCTGGATGCCTGCGTGGCTGCAGAGATAGAAGTCAAACTCGTACGGGTGGGTGATGTCGGTGTCGACTGTGGTCCCAGCGGGGATGTTCCCACTTCTCCCCACCTACATGTTTGTGGATCAGATTTGAAACCAACAAGACAAGTTTGCATTAAAAATGTTCAAGCACATAAGCTGACCCCCACACTTTACTACTTTCAGCCTGAACTATTACTTAAGCAAGCATTCAGTACAGACCTCACAGTCTTAGTTCCTAGTCTCTTTTAAAAATTATTTTCTTTATTTCTTTCCTTCCTTCCTTTCTTGTTCCTTCCTTCCTTCTTCCCCTCACTTCCCTTCCCTCCTTCCCTTCCTTTTGTTTTGTTTTGTTTTTTTGACAGGGTTTCTCTGTGTTACTTTGGAGCCTGTCCTGAAACTCTCTCTGTAGACCAGGCTGGCCTTGAACTCACAGAGATCTGCCTACCTCTGCTAGGACTAAAGGCATGCACCACCACCGCCTGGCTTTCTTTTTTAGTTGATTTATTTACTTTGTGTGTATAAGTGTTTTGCCTATATGTATGTCTGTATGTGTGTTTGGTGCCCAAAGAGGTCAGAAGAGGGCATTGGATCCTCCTGAAACTGGAATTGTGGATGGTTGTGAGTCTGTGTGCAGGTTCTGGGAATCAAGTGCAGGTCCTCTGCAAGAGCAGCCCATGCTCTTACCTGCTGAGCCATCTCTCCAGACCCAAATATTTCTTTCCTTTTCTTTTCCCTTTCCCTCCCTCGACCCCTCTCTTTCTTGAGACAGGGTTTCTCTGTGTAGCCTTGGCTGTCCTGGATCTCACTCTGTAGCTCAGGCTAGCCTCGAACTCACAGAGGCTGCCTCTGCCTCCCAAGTGCTGGGATTAAAGGTGTGCGCCACCATCACCCAGCTCCAAATATTTCCTAACATGAGTGCTGGTAAATAAGAAAGAGTTATATAGTTTCTATTGCTTGGCGGGTGACAGGGTGAAAGCACATAAGCTCAGCTGACATTTATGGCGTATATGTACCAATACTGTTCTTGAAATAACACTGTGTGAAATTGCCATTTTTCTTGGAGAATACTATATATTAATAAGAGGAAATCTTGGTAACACTACCAAAAGTCAGCATTTATTATCCATGTCAGGTTTTCCTCTCCCTTTTCTTAAAGAATTGTTTTATTTATGTGTAACTGTATGAAAGGATGACATTAATCCACATACATATGAACACCTGATTTTTGACAAAGAAGCCAAAACTATACAATGGGGAAAAAAAGGATCTTCAACAAATGGTGCTGGCATAACTGAATGTCAACATGTAAAAGATTACAAATAGATCCATATCTGTTACCATGTACAAAACTCAAGACCAAGTGGATCAAAGACCTCAACAT